GTCGTCCTTACTAAAAATAGATGGTCCTTAATACTCCTTCGTCCAACAATAGTTGTCTACTATACTATTTTGGGATGTCCAACAATACTTATCCACTTTATGAAATCAAAGGATAATTTTACACTTACTTCCTAATTTGCCCTTATCATTAGTTATAGTCATTTTCCTATTACATTTTTCAAGACATTGTATTTATTATATTGAAAGGGTGATATAGTAAAATTATCTTTCTATTTATAATTTCTTAAGAAGTGTGCGAAATAAATAGTGGACAACTATTGTTGGACAGAGGGAGTATTTGTCATTTCACAAAATCAATGCATAAATGACAATATTCTTCCTATTTTACCCTTGTGAGTTATTAGCCTTGAAAATATACATTTGACCAATATAGAAAAACTAAGTAAATGATTTATGTCCATTGGTCACATTAATTAATCAAAATAAATTAATTTATGTTCAATGATTGAAAATTTGAGTACAAAAAAACATTAAATAAGGGTAGAATAGTAAATGCACTTAGTTTCTTAATGCACGTGAAATATAAAATAGGAACATAGGGAGTATTGAATAGAAGGAGTATTGTAGTTTGACTTGGAACGGAGTTTAAGAAATAAGTGATAGATATGTCATAAAAAAAAGAAATAAGTGATAGAGTTTGTGTGAGACTATAAATCATTTCATTAAGGGTAAAATAAACATTTTACAGTTAAATTATTAGGAAAAACTACATAATTAGACATACTTCTCTATCATATATACTATTATTACCTATACTTTCAAAATATTGTATTATTACCATATATTGAAGAAAATACACTTAGATACATGTATTTTTGCTACCAGATACACAAAAATATGAGAAAGACAAGCGAGATTGGAGAGGGAGGTGAGCAAGATTCATATGTATCCAAATACATGGGAGTCACACTAAATACATGTATCTCGATCTATCTGAAGTGATTCACATGTATTTGGGATACCAGATACATGAGAGAGCGGCGAGCGAGATGGGAGAAGAGCTACGGAGGCAAGCAAAATTTGTTGTGTATTCAAATACATGCAAATCTACGTGAATATAATGTATCTAGAACAAATTACACCTAATTTTGATCACATATGTCTGAGAACATATAAGTGCACGTATCTAGAGGCACAAAAATTTGATAAGATACGTAATATTACAAACTAGAGTAAAGTATTTAGCTCCTAAACTAGTGGGATTTATGTAAGTTCCCCAAATTATCACATGAAATAAGGCTCAGAAATTCACTTAATATAAAATAGAGGAAGTATTAAGTATAAAAATGTGTCATTTTTATAGAACCGACTAAAACAATGTAAATTATATAAATTAAAACAACGAGAGTATTATATTATTTGATGCGAGGTAGAATACAAAGTAAACATACAATTACTAATAATACTCCTGTCCAACAATACTTGTCCACTATTGACTTTACACACTTCTTAAGAAACTATAAATAGAACAATAATTTTACTATATCACCATTTGAATATAATAAATACAATGTCTTGAAAAATGTAATAGGAAAATGACTATAATTAATTATAAGGGTAAATTAGGAACTAAATGTAAATTATCCATTGATTTCATAAAGTGGACAAGTATTATTGGACATCCCAAAATAGTATAATGGACAACTATTGTTGGACGGAAGAAGGATATGATTTTAGACACACAAATTAATGACAATAATTATTGTTGTTACTCGTTCAGAAAGGAAAAAAAGATCACAAAATCAATCAAACAAATATAAGCAAGAGAAAATGTCATACTGCATGATTGTTTTATGTGTGTTGGCAGTTCCAATTCAAAATGAAGAAGAAACAAATTAATTAGTTGCTGCAACAACTAAAATTTGGTTCTTTTGTCTATCTTTTATATCGTCCATCTGTCGACTTTTAGCCTTTGAATACATGACTCACTTTTCTTGTTGTGGACATAACATTAAATGTGTGAACAAAGTCTAATATAAGGTGTATATGAATATTCTAATGATGAGATTTTTTAGAAATACCGTATGGACTTGATTCAAAATGGATAACATAAGCTATATCAAGACTAGCTATGTATTTTGGATTTGTTTCGCCCAACAATTGGAATTAATGATTCGGGGGATCGATAAAAAGATGGCAAAGTGATGACATAGGGCTCAATTTATTATCTTTAGTTCTTTATACATGTCGAAAGGTACTTAGAGACTCATGCTCATAAGAAGCTAGACTCTGGGTTATAGTGACCATAAATGTTCGATCATATGAATAATGTAACACATAGTGAATCTCAAAAAAATTGACACGTAAATCACGTTGATGAGTCATGTGGAACTTAGTTGGAGGAGCTTGTTGATGGGCTAATTATTGTGGCGGAATGTTGATATAGGTCATGCATAATTTAGTTCTACGAAAAAGATTGTTGAATGAGCGAACAAAGTTTTAAATCGATAGCTCAAAAGAAAATGAAGCTACATATAGGACGTATTATGAATATTCTAAATAGTGTAATGCCTTTTCAAGGAAATCATACGGACTTGTCAAAATAAATAATATCACATCATATTAAAAATATTCCTACGCTAATTTAGCCTACCAAGTAGACATTTGTCACTCTCCTCATATGGTCATCAAATCATCACTATCCAATGTCTTTCAAAGACATTGGATTTCATCATTATTATATGAAACTATGGAGGATATATGGTGAACACATGTCACCCATTCCATTGCTTTATAATTTGGGCATAGCCTAAAACAAGTTGCACCTGTCAGTTAGGGGTGTACAAAACCGAATCGAATCACAAATTGAGTCAAATTAGAAAAAAACCCGACTAGTGATTTGATTTGACTTGGTTTGGTATTGGAAAAAAAAACCTGACTATATTTGGGTTGGTTTGGTTTTAACTAAAAAAAAACCAACCCGAGACCAAACCAACCCGACATTATATATGTAATTTTAAAATTTTATTTTATACATAAAAGTATTTACTTTGATATAATTTTAAAATATTTCTTATACTATTTCATAGTTTTTATCTTTTAATATATTATTTCAAGTTTAAAACTTAGAATTCGGAATGGTCCAATAAAGATTATAGTTCATAGATGTTGATAATTATAATAAAACTTAAATCAAGATCAAATTAATACTAATGCAAAAAGAAAATCAATTCAACACTAAGAATGACAATAATATTGAATATTTGTTCTTTAGTTTTACATTGGTTTAGACAATTAAAATACATAATCTAATTTTAATTTTCCTTAAATATTTAGTAATGTAACTAATACTTATTAAACTTATTTTAGCATGATTTTGTACTTTTAAATTATGATTATTTTCATTATGACTTTGCAATATTTATTTTATATGATGATTTCATTATTATTTTTTATTGAATATTTTAGTGTCATCAGACTCATCTCATATTGTGTTATTTTCTTAAGAAACACCTTAGATAATTGTATTTTGGTTGGACTAAAGAAATATTTGGAGCACAAGTTAATTATATGTTTGTATGCAAACTTTATCGAAAAAATCCAAAAATCTGAAAAAATCCGAAGTTTATTAGTTTGGTTTGATTTATAAATTTAAAAATTCAACACAATGGTTTGGTTTGGTATTTGAAAAACCGGAATCAACCCGAGGTTGAAAAACCCAAAAAAATCCAAATTTTATTAGTTTGGTTTATAAATTTAAATTTTTTACACAAATGATTTGGTTTGATATTTGAAAAATCCGAACCAACCCGGTCATGTACACCCCTACTGCCAGTGCATTCCCCCCAAAAAAAAGAGTTAAAAATGAAGACTACTAGTTGGGGTAATACATTGTATTTGGCTATATATGCCTTTAGGGGTCGTTTGGTGTGAGGTATTAAAATAAATAGTGATGGGATAAAAAATTTGTATCTTATTTGGTTGCCATGTTTGAGATAACTTATCCCAACATTTATATTATAGTGATGGAATAAGTTATCCCACCATCTGTTATATGTTTGTTATGGACCATAACTTATGGAAGAGTTTCTCATTGTTCAAGTTGTTTATTGGCATAATGCATAAGCAAATAATCAAACTAGATCTCAACTGGCAATAAGCACCTTAACATTATCTTAACTAGCACCTAAACATTCTACTCATCCTCATTGTGTCTCGTGGACATATAAATTTTGGAGGTATCTAAATAATAATTATTTTAGAAGTTGGAGTATTCAACTAACACAATAGAGACGAGTTGAGGTATCTAAATGTGCATACTCAAAGTTAGAGTGTTTACTTGCCAGTTGAGGCCAAATATGAGCGTCTGTTTGTTTGTGTATTATTCCTTATTTAATCATGACTTGATACAATTTTCAAAAAATTAATCTAGATTCTTTGAACTTGCCAAAGTCAAAAAGATGAATAATGATAGATTAAGTGGAATGTAGCAGACAAATCAAGATTTCAATGTCTAGTTATTCTTAGCTTAAAATTAGGTGCTTGAAGTGATCAGAATAGAAAGCAGCTTCCACTCATTGAAAATGTTTGGCATAAAAGTTCAATGGACCATTTCTCCTTATCATGAGCCAGGAAGGCGAAAATTCTGAGACGGATCTAGCATTTTAAATTTATAACGAGTTTTCTTTTCCCCGATAAAACAAAAAACTCGTTACAAAGCTTACTTGAAGTGGACCACCCAATAAGCTGAGAGCTAGGACATTAGGTCTTGCAACATCACTCGACAGTAGCTATACTTTAGGTGCATTTGCTTTAGCTCGATTGAATGCTTTCCATACACTGTAAACAACAACAAAACCCGGCTCAATCCCAAACAAGTTGGTAAATATGATGAAAATTTGAAAGCCAACTAACCAAATCCCATCACCAAGAACTCCATAATTACCGTCTTACAATTGAGTATTCACATTCACTTACAGACTTCAAAAGAAGATTAGAGGTTTGATATCATTCACATGTGCTTGAATAGAAACAAATAGTAAGAAACTAGAAAATAAAAACTTGCATATATATCATAGTAATGTCACTAGAGAAGCCATTATTTAATTGTCAGATATTATACGAGTAAGGGATTAGAGTATGATAAAATACACCACCTTCAAAAGAGATTTCAATTCTTGGCCCTGATTGAGTTGTTTTCCTTGATCCTATCTCGATTATCCAGCTTGACAAAGCGTTTGAGGTCCTCATAAGGGAGAGACTCAATGTCTTTCCTTCTCAATTCGCTCAGTGCAGGACGTTTATCCAGCAGGTGCCACAGCCATCCCGAGTATTCTGAGTCCTGCAATATTTTAGGATTTGCTCCATCCTTGAGGATATTTGCTCCAACAACTGCAGTGGCCTTGACTTCATTGCTGATTGTTGATGCCTTTGAAGCATCAGCAGCTGCACCCCCTTTACCACCTTTCTTTGATTTACTGCCCACAGCAAATGTTCTGCAGCCTCCCATTTGAATTAACTCTTTGGGAATGTTCATGCTTCTCAATGATCTGATATAGGACAATGCCATGTCTTTTAGCCTGCAGCAACTATTATGATTAATATAATATAATCAGTTTCAAACGAAACAAGTTAGATTAAGAGGGCAATACTATATCAAGATTGGACATTTAACATCACAAATTAAGCCAAAAATACATCCTGATATCTGTTATGACCTTGGAATATAATCGATAACGTGCTAGAACAGGAACAAATACAGCAGAAGTCCTTGGACCTTTCCTATTTTTCATTCCACAAAAATCCCACTGCATCCTATGCAGAGGTCCATATAAAGTTCAAGGTTAGTATCGCAGGCAGGCCAGATCCTTGGTGCCAAATAATCTTTGACCATAAGGATTAAGGACTACCGACACATTTTACAGAAGACACACAGATAGGGGACGTAATTTCTTTCATGACTCATTTGAGATCCTTGACTAAAAGAAGCTGTATTGGGCAAGTTGTTCATGCATCAAAGAGCATCTAAAATGCTGCATTCATTTTTAGGATCCTTAGGTTCTCCTTGGATGCAGGGATCTTTTGATATTCTTGTTTTTGCCATCCACAAAGAAGAGATGGAAAAACTTTTGAATAAATAGAAAGGGGCACAACAACAAGGTGAAAGGTTTTAAAACATTGAAGATGTTAAAGAGAAGATAGGCCAAACTAGAAAGAGACATAACGAAGAATGATCATTCACCTTTTGTGCTTTCAAAATTGTGAAACAAAAGTAAAAGTCCCCTGATAAAACATGAATTTACTACATACGAGACCAGCTCGAGCATACAGTAATAAGGACAAGGACATGGATAAGCAATTATGGAATACACTCATTTATCAAGTAATTCAGCATCAATTCTCGCAGAATCCTACAGCTGAAAGGCAGTGTTTTCATATATCTTGGAGATGACATCTGCACTGAACTAGTTTACTCACAGGAATCACTTGTTTATTAGAAATACATGTAGATATGCTGTAAATACATCTAAAGATAGAGGCGGATTCATCAATTGAACAGTATGAGTTCGAGTTTGGGATTCTGACACAGCACAACTGATTCACTATGTTCGACATCTATTAGTTATACTTATTTAGTTGATCTTTTAACAAATATTCATGGTCCAAGCCAAAGCAACTAGGTTCGGATGAACCCATAAGTTACCTTCTACATATATCCTGGTAAAGAGTACTACATCGGTTATTCAGGAAATGCATTCACTTTCCGACTTCACTTTTGGCAATAAAGAGTCCTAATTTGAACATCAGTTAACAAATTAAAACATAAAACCAAGATTATATTTTTACCAATATTAGCACAATTAAGCAAGTGATCAACTACTATACAACATATCCAGTGCACTAGTGCTGTCTGGGGAGGAAAGAGTGCAACCTTAACTTGGAAGGTAGAGTGATTGTTTCCAATAGATCCTCGGCTCAAGAAAAAGTAAATGAAAGCAGTTCGGAAAAGAAAATAATGGAAGTGAAGAAGACATGACAAAAAAGTGATCAACTACTCTTCTGAAAAAGTAAGGCAAAGCCAGTCCTTTACAATGCAAAGCTAGAAGAAGAGCTAAATTTGACACAATTCCAAATGAAATTGCAGATTCTGATGCAAGAGCGATTTGGATTTTTCACTTAAAAATTACTATAACTTTCTCATGTGTTAAAAACCTATGTTGCACCCTCTTTAAAAATGTGGGTGGATGATTACGCATTCTCCAAAAGTAGTGCATTTTTGAATAATCCGACACGGGTGAAACATTCGTTTTGGAGAGTACGCGCAACATAGCTGAAAACTAATAGCAGTAACCAAATGATTATTAAAAAATCATCATTTATGGCCTAATTCAAAAATAAATAATACTATTATTTAGCGGCATATTAGCACAGAATAAAAAATTAAGAGTCAGTAAGCAAAACCAAATTTGCAGATGAAACACACAACACATAGCAAATCCAATTCAGTGTCCGGTATTTTAACAGCTGAAATTCATCGAAAAACGATTACAGAGATTTTGTTTTGTGTGTTAGAGTATAGATCGGAATCGACAGACAAAAGAGGGAAACTTACAACTGAGTTTCGCCGGAGAATGAGACGGCGAAGAGTTCACCGGAGGAAGAACCGGAGATTGTGAGAGCCGAAGAAGCTGGGCCTAATTCAAAAATGGGCCAAAAGTACTCAAAAACATGGGTCCTGTATTTGGACTATCCATGGATAAAATTAAAACAATAGCCACTTTCAAACCATTTAATTGAAATATAGTCATTTGTATAATTAACCACGTTTGTATAATTTGCCACATTTGTATAATTTACAACTAATAATTCTTCGTTTGATTTGTATTTGTATACGATAATTTGTATTTGTATATGATGATGATTTCCTTTGATTTTTCAGTTTTGTCACTATTTACATTCAATATTTTTATGTATAACTTTTTAAAGTTTGTATAAACGTGTAGTTTTTGGATTTTGTATAATATAATTTATATAATATATTTTGTATAATTGTTTAAAGTTCATATGTTTATGTTTGTATCAATTTGTTATTTCGAGTTTTATCATATTTGTATAATTCCAGACTTTATATTACTGAATTATACAAAAAGCGCGAATTATACAAACGTACCCGCAAATTATACAAATTATTTCCCTCTCTTGCTCGCCTCTCTCCTCCCTCTCCCAATCTCGCTTGCATCTCTTCTCCCTCTCCCAATATCGCTCGCCTCTCTCCTCCCTCTCCCAATCTCGCTTGTCATATATATAAATACATATGTATAATATACAATTATCTAACTGATATACATATACAATTCACCTCTCTCCCACTCTCTGCCCTCTCTCGCTCGCCTCTCTCCTCCCTCTCCCAGCCTCGCTCGCCACTCTCCTCCCGATAGCATATAGCTACGAATCGTAATTAACAAACTATAGTTATGGAGTGTAGTTAGACTAGTTTTGAGTGACTAAATGCGAAAGTTTCTTTTTCTTTAGGGGTCGTTTGGTTTGAAAATGAGTTATGATGGGATAAGTTATGTTGGGATAAGTTATGTTGGGATTAGTTATGATGGGATAAGTTGTGTTGGGATTATTTTTTATTGAGTGTTTGGTTTGTTGTATTCAAAATAATAAATTTTAAGAACAATTTATTTGTTTACAAAAATGCCCTTCATTAATGTAAAAAGTGATATAACAAAAGGGTTGAAAGAGACATTTTTGTCATTTACCTATTTTATCCCGGGATAAGTTATCCCGGGATTACTATACCACCCAAGGAGAGGGATAACTTATCTCGGTACTAATTATTAATCCCGGGATAAGTTATCCCGAACTTGCCAACCAAACAACAAAATAAGCGGTACTATAATTTAATCCCGGGACTATTTGTTATTATACCTCACACCAAACGAGCCCTTAAAGTTGAAGTGTGAGTAGTGTAAATGAGGCAAAGACCCCATCCATAAAGATGGCCCAAGTTAACCACCAGCAGCCCGGCCCACATTTGCAGACAAATAAAACCAAAATGAAAGGTGGAGAATTTCCAAAACCGCTCATTCCATTTTCTCAATTTTCTCTCTCTAAAACCCCTCTTTCTCTCTCTAGAACACAGAACCATCAATGGCGTCTCCACGTGAAGAGAACGTGTACATGGCGAAGCTTGCTGAGCAAGCTGAACGCTATGAGGAGATGGTAGAATTCATGGAGAAGGTCGTCGCCGCCTTGGACGGCGAGGAACTAACCGTCGAGGAACGCAACCTTCTCTCCGTCGCATACAAAAACGTGATCGGAGCTAGGAGAGCATCCTGGCGTATAATTTCATCGATCGAGCAGAAAGAGGAGAGTCGTGGTAACGAAGATCACGTTGCCTCCATTAAAAAATACAGATCTCAGATCGAGAATGAGCTGACTTCGATCTGTAACGGCATCCTCAAGTTGCTTGATTCAAAACTCATCGGGTCAGCTGCTACCGGAGACTCCAAAGTTTTCTATTTGAAAATGAAGGGAGATTATTACCGGTACTTGGCTGAGTTCAAAACCGGAACCGAGAGAAAAGAAGCTGCAGAGAATACTCTTTCGGCCTACAAGTCTGCTCAGGTATTTAGACTTTCATTCTTTAACTTTTTTGGAAATGCTGGAGGAAAATCTCATATGAGTTCTGCGAATGGAAATGTTCTATGTGTGTTAAATTTGGAAATTGCATAAACAAGTACTGCAAGTCACAATTTTTATTGAGAAGAGTAACCAAAATCCATCAGAAATTGTTGTCAAAAGGAAAAAAAATGTTTCCTGTGGTGAACCATGTAGTATTATTTAATCGGAGCATGAACGTGACGTCTCTCTCGTTTTCAGGACATTGCTAATGGCGAATTGGCCCCAACACATCCAATCCGATTGGGTCTAGCTCTCAATTTCTCAGTCTTTTACTATGAGATATTGAATTCTCCTGACCGTGCTTGTAATCTCGCCAAACAGGTAACAAATTTATTGTTATCTCTTGTTTCCCAAATGAGCATCCAGGGTAATTTTGGAAAGAAAAATAGATGTTTTTGGGTCTATTCAATGATGTTTATGGTTTGTATGGTTGTGTAAAAGGCCTTTGATGAGGCAATTGCGGAGCTTGACACCCTGGGAGAGGAGTCCTACAAGGATAGCACTTTGATTATGCAACTTCTGCGTGATAACCTCACTTTGTGGACCTCGGATATGCAGGTAAATCCTTGTGTTCTTTTGTTAATTTGATTGTTTTGCTTATTGGATTGTTTGGCTAATCCATCTCTTGTTGACTTTTCTTCTTCAGGATGATGGAACTGATGAGATCAAAGAACCATCAAAAGCTGATAATGAGTAGTAACAACGTGAGTGAAACCTCTTTGCTTAGGATTGAAAACCGATGATGTAATTTTACTCATTGATCAAAATTGGCTGTTTGTAGTCCTTATCCTTTGATTTGTAAACCCTATTACCTAAAGGCGCTGTTTCTTGCCATTTGTTGTTTTCATCAAGATTACTTTTTGTCTCAGTATTTCTTTTGTATTTGGATGCTCTGATGAAGCACTCTTATTTCGTGGAAATGAATATTTATTTTTACCAAGCAAGTAGCACTTTGTATTTCCCTTTTCTCAAAGAAGTAGGGCATTGTGGATTTGATCTTCCTTCAAATTCTGCATTTTGATTGTCTATTCCATTTTGTGTTCACTTGGATATGTGTCTAATAATTTTGTATCAAGTCAAGATTAAATTTTTCTTGTGACACACATCGTTTGTGTTGCATTCACATTTCTTTATAGAAGGCATCAAGTACATATCCATCCATACCTTTAGCTTGGATTTTTTTAAGAAGATTATTACTTTGCGTCCTTAATATTCCATCTGTTTTAATAGAGGCCCATTTTTGGTAGGCATTTACAAAGTATATGATAGATCCGTCTACCTCCATAGGTAGAGGGTAAGGTTTCCGTATACATTACCTGCCACGTACACGTTGTTGTTGCTGCTGCACAATGATAGATCTTGGGAATGACGTTTACTCTGTTTCAGAGTTGGCAAATGCTGTAACTGGTTGTTGACTTTTAGTTTCATTTGTCCAATTTAAAAATGTATTGCCAAGCATGACGTGCACACTAGAACCGTCCTTTTTTGGGTCAATAAAGGGTGGCCGGTCATGGTCCTTGCTTTCTTTGAATAAAGTTCTCAATTTGGGGCGGCAGCATCTCATTGGCTAGCTGTAGTTTATTCAAGATTCTTTGATGAATTTTAGGTTGGAATTTCAAACTTCAAATACATACCGTAAATATTGGTGATAAATGAGTGCTCGTTTGTCTTTACCCTTTAGTATTTATGAAGCTGTTTCCAGCATCAGCACGCAGAAACATTGACTGGCGAAAGGCAACATAACGCCTGATACTAGCCATTACTTTAACTGATATGCTAAAGCATCTTCTTGATGATTAAAGCTGGCACTGGACTCTTTTTGTTCCCCTTTTCCAATCTTCACAGTTTGATTCACGAGTCTTGCAAAGTTGTTGGTCCTTTGGTGTATGTTTCATTGGATCTACTTATTGCTGATAGTGCAACCTACCGTAAAGTGTTGGGGTTCTCAATTGAACAAATTGGTGACACATTGCACCCGCGCTCTCTCCCTTTCTTTCAGTATTATTATTGGGTCACACAATGTGCTTTCAGATAAGTGTCGCTTTGAGCAATGCCATTCAAAGTGATTCCAACAGAAGTGGCTATTTCAACTTTAAGGAGTTGGATTAATGTTGATACCATTGTATATTGGATAGATAAATTAGTCTGGTTTTTCACTTCAAGCCTCATGAAACTAGTAGCTTTTTTTCATGTTTTTGCTTTTATAAACAGTTCTCCTTCTTTCTCTCTTCCACCCCTAACATGCAATGGCTACTAATTTTGTTGCGTGTGCCGTGGATGTCTCCTCCAATATGTATACATGTGTGAATACAGAGTTTTGCAACGCCTTTGAATGTGAATTTGTGCCTGGTTGACTTGCAGAGTTGCAGTAATTTGAAGGCACTATGTCCTTTGACCCTTACAAAAGGGCATTAAATGGGGTTCACACAAAGTAAACGTTCTTTGAAGTTTGCAATGTCTAGTGGGTCCAGATTTTCATCCATCCATACTGTGCAGCAGGTTTATTCCTTCTCAAAACATTTATGAAAGTTGACGACTTTTTTATTATAGTATGTTTAAAAACACACTTGAAGTATCATCTTGTTTTGAGTTTTCTAATTAATCTATCTGGTGTTTGCAAACACCTTTTCTACTTGAACTATCATCTGAACACACATCAACTAGTGTTTGATGGTATGCGGTGTACTCGTTTTATTATTATTTTTAAAATAGTGTCAAATGACACTCCACGTGAGAATAAAATAACTTAACTGGAAAATTGAATCATTAAGAAATAATGGTATAAAAATACATCTGAAGTATCGTTTTCTCCTAGTTTACAATCTGAAGTTAGCGTTTTCTACCTAAACTATAGCCAACTATTTATCAAAACATGTCTCGAATAAGTCATTTGTCATGTGCATGAAATTTTATGGGCAAATTATGTTGTGACGTGCCTTTTAGCGATTGTATTACAATACTTGATCTAGTCAATTTTGAGGTGTGTTTTGATAAATATGTTGATACTTCAAGTAAGAAACGCAAAAAAATGATACCTCAAGTGTGTTTTTGACCATTATCTTTGAGTCAAGTTGCACATTACAATTAATTTCACGAGATAACTACTATGTCATTTTAGCATACAATTACCTATAACTTTATCCACCAAAACTTGAAAAAAAGTGACAAGTTGAATAAATAAAAAATCAACAAGTTTATGCAAAACATTTACCACACAGGTCACCTAAAAGGCAATAATATCCAACTCTCTATTAAAACTTGCGAAGACAAATAGGAAAAAATATTGGATCCTTTCAATTATGTGTACTTGATGTGCATATCAATACAACTCAGCTTTGTGCCGTATAGCATTTAAAAAAAATACAACTTAGAATGATGATTTCAAATTTTGAGCTGTTTGATAGTACCCATGTGAACAGCAAGACACAAGTACATTCCATTACATACAAAGGGCAAATACGTAGATAGCCTCTCTAACTTGCACCAATTTTTCATTCTAACACTCCATTGCAATGAGTCCGGCATCAAAACAGACACTTTTCAAACCCTAAACATCAAAAGGGACACTTTAAAAAAACACACTAAAATGGATAGTTCGCCTATTTATGAGCGAACTATAACTACCATATTTTAATAACGTCATCCTCGTTAACTTCTAACATCCAAAATAATATTACACAAATTTTAAAGATAGTTCTCCCACAAATTGGTGAACGACAATTCTTTTTATTTACTCCTCACGTGAATCTATATCTCTTTATTCAACTATAATAATCTTACTAAAATTGCTCCATTCATACTACATGAAAAATTCAAACTACTAAAATTCTAAAACATACTACATAAAAACTAAAATTAAGTAAAAATAACATAGAACTAATCAACTATAAAATATTTCCAAATCAAATAGAAAATCAAAAGACCACATAAAAACGTCCAACAATTATTTTTTTTCTCTTCTTCATTCAATTTTCTTTCAAAATACAATTCTCATGCTGAGTTTCATTATTCTTAAACTGACTTTGTTTTTCTTCTGATTCTTTTAGCAATGTCCTTATAAGATCTCTATCTTCTACAAATTTCATATTGATGTGGGAAGTTATATAATCGTCGAAAGAGCTGGGTCTCCTCACCCTTGAAAGAATGGTGTTAGTTTCATTTATGAGCATGTTTTCTGCCCACAAAAAATAATCGCATCCATCATTTTCCTAAAATAACAAAACAAGCGAATACCCAAATATTTTGAAGTGAACAACTTACTCTTTTTTTTTTTTTTTACCTTTGAACGAGCACAACTCCAAAACTTACGACGGGAATTTCTTGGAGTCCTCTATGTTTTCATTTTACAATACTCTTTGCATTTACAAACATTTGGTTCAATTGAATATACACACTTTCCGAATTGTTGGGACATGACTATCAAATTTCAAAAATCAAAATATAAAGTATAAAATAGTAGAAGATGAATGAGAAAATGTGGAGTGAATAACTCATACTTATAGTTGAAGAAAGAGAGATAGCTTCACGTGAGGAAAAAAGAGATATAGATTCACGTAAGAAGTTAATAAAAATAATTGTAGTTTGCTCATTTGTAGGCGAACTACCTTTAAAGTTTGTGTAATATTACTTTTGATGGATTTGGAGTTAACGGGGATGACGGTGTTAAAATATGGTAGTTATAGTATGCCCATAAATGGTCAACTGTCCGTTTTGATGTGTGTTTTTAGAGAGTGTCCCTTTTGGTGATCAGAATTTAAAAAGTGTCCGTTTTGCTGTCGAACTCCCATCTAACCATTGTTCCATCTTAATCCCCCAACTTCATTCATTATGAACCATTATTTAAACATAAAAAAACTGATTACAAAAAACATATTAACTTGCCACTAAAAAAGAACACCACTTTAAGAGATGCTAATTTCTATGTTCCTAAAAATGTGTTTTTGATTTTGTTAAGCCTCTTGACTACGTCTCTCATAGTTATCCTTGTCTCTGACATTTCCTTTGTGCAATCCAAAGCCAATTCCATCATGGAGGCTATGCATATTTCACTTTTGAAATTGACAGATTCTTTCTCATGAAAAAGATTGGCATCTACGACTTCCATAATTGTCCCGGGAAATGCTCGTCTTATCCACTGCCTCAAGCCAAGATTTTCGTTGAATATCTCGTCTTCAGTTGGTCTTCTTTTTGTCAATACCTCCATCATCATGATGCCATAGCTGTAAACATCACCACTAATGGACACTACTCCTTCCAAGCCATATTCTTTAGAAGAATGAAAATGAAAAATAAATTACAATCGGAAGATAATAATTGTTTTGTACAATGAAAGACTTGGTTTCTGTTTAGTTCCAGAATTCGGAAGAGCTTAGTTCTGATAAGAGAAAGGGTTAATGATAAGTGAAAAAGAACGAAACTAGTGTACGTACCTGGTGCAATGTAACCAAAAGTGCCTAATGTCTCAGTATGTACCATGGACTTGCTTACAGCTAATATTTTAGAGATGCCAAAATCACCAACATGTGCCACCATTTCTTCATCCAAAAGAATGTTGGCTGGCTTTAGGTCGCAATGAACTATTGGAGTATCATGACCGTGGTGTAGATATTCAATTGCCACAGCCACATCAAGCATTATGTTGACTCTTTGAAGAAGGTTCAAGTGGCAATCTTCTTTGTACAACCAATTATCAAGACTTCCATTGGGCATATACTGTAGAACAAAGGCTCTTATGTATTCACTAGAACAAGTAGTAATCACTGAAATAAGGTTTCTGTGCCTAACATTTCTCATCACTTCACATTCAGTATCAAACCTCTTGCATACTTCCTCATTTTGCAAATCGAGAACCTTTATTGCCACCACAGTTCCACTAGATAATGTACCTTTGTACACAGAGCCAGAACCTCCCGTACCGATCAAATTGGATCCATCAAAATTATTTGTTGCTCGTTGAATTTCATGATAAGAAACCAATTGATAAGTCCTGATCTCTGGTACCTTTTCCACGTCTTTGGACTTTCCTTTCATCTTTTGTTTCATTATTATCCAAGCTGACACAACCAATAATATCAGAAAGGATGAAGTAACCACTGGAATAACAATTTTCAGCACAAGCTCCTTAGACTTTGATTGTTTTCTAGGATTAGTGATAGCACAAGCAGGAATCTCCAATATGTGTACTCCACATAGACCTTTGTTCCCAAGAAATGATTGCAAAGTGGAATTTGAAAACACACCACCACTAGGTATCTCACCATCTAAATCATTAAATGAGACATTGATGCTTTTAAGGTATGAAAGCTTTTCCAAAGACTTAGGAATAGTACCTGACAATGCGTTGAAAGACAAATTCAAGTATTCTAGACTTATCAAATTGGCAAAGGATAAGGGAATTGAGCCTGAAAATGAATTGTTTGACAGGTCAAGAACTTTCATGTTTTGGAGGTCCCCCAATTGGCTTGGTATCATGCCGGAAAAGTGGTTACCAGAAAGATCTAGTTTTACAATGGCCTTCAATCCTCCAATGTCCTGTGGAACTTCTCCCTCTATAGAATTTTGTGACATGAAAAGATAGAGAAGGCCACTCATCTTCCAAAGACTCAAAGGAAGCTTTGATGAAAATTTGTTAGAACTCAATGAAAGAACTCGTAGAGTGGTAAGATTTTCTAAACATTTTGGGATCACCCCAGAGAGCTCATTAACATGCAAAGATAATGTAACCAAATAAGATAAATGACAAACTACCTCTGGAATATTCCCTTGCAATTTGTTGCTATATAGATACAGACCTTGGAGATGTTCAAGCTTACCGACTTCAGACGGAATGGTTCCCATCAAGTTGTTTTCCACAAAAGCTAGCGACATTAGACCGCTTATGTTTCCTATACCTGTGGGAATGAGGCCACTAATTTGTGCATTTCCCATGTGAATTGATTCAATAGTAGATGAAAGATTTCCAATAGTATCGGGCAAAATACCATTTAATGGATTGTTACCCACTGTTAGATATTGCAGCTTCCTACAGTCCACTAAAGAATTAAAGAATTGCAACTCATGATTATTTGGTTCATTGGTAAGTTGATTACCATCTAAATATAAGCGTCGCAGGTCACGAAGATTTCCTAAATTAGTAGGAATATTGCCTGTGAGAAAGTTCCTGTTTAGCCCCAGTATCTCAAGCTTGGAAGCGTTTGATATGAACAATGGAATTTCCCCTTTGATCTTATTGACTCCCAAGAAAAGTTCGTTAAGGTTTGGAAGATGAAGACCTGTAGTGGTTGGAAGTCTCCCCGAGAGGTTATTGTAACTGAAATCGATTATTTCCAAAGAAGATATATTAAATATAGCCTTTGGAATCTGACCTATGAGATTATTATTTTGGACAAAGCTAATTTGCCTCAAATTTGATAGCTTCCCCAATTCTGGAGGAATTGGCCCCTCCAAGTGATTGCTTCCACAATAAAGATTTTGCAGAGTGGAAATATTTCCCAATGATGCGGGAATAGTCCCTTTTATTGGATTGTCACCAATATAAAGCTCCTCAAGATTGGATAAACAACCAATATTTTTGGGTATTCCTCCAGTTATCTTGTTGAAAGATATGGACAACGCTTTGAGCTTTGTGAGTTGGCAAATGTTGGAAGGAATGTAACCAGAAATTTGGTTGTTAGATATAGTTAATGACTCTAGATTTGACACAACGTTCCCTTCATCAAGCAAGAAAGGGCCGGAAAGGCTATTGAATGCTAGAGATGTGACAAGAAGTGAGGAGATATTAAATAGTGCTGCAGGAATAGAACCTGTTAATTGATTATCGAACAAGGAGAAAAATTCAAGTTGGCTGAGATTACCGATTTCCTTTGGAATGTTCCCGCCGACTCTATTCCCATACAAACTGAAGTTCAGCAACTTTGTGGCATTTCCAATAGAAGGAGGTATTATACCTGTGAGGCTATTGTTCCTGAGATTTAAAACTGTGAGTTCAGGTACATACCATGGCCCTTTCCACATTTCACCACCGAGTTTATTGAAAGCCAATGAAATGATTTGAACTCTCTGGTGTTGAAATAGACTTGTTGGAATACTTTCTTGGAGCTGATTGTTTTGAAAATCAATCACTCGCAAGCGAGGCAAGTGGCCAAGTCCGTAAGGGATGCCGCCATGGAAGTTGTTGTTCCGGAGATTGAGCACGCTGAGAAAGGACAAATTGGCCAAAGACGGGGAAATTGTGCCTTGAAGTTGTAAATCAGGAAGAGTCAAGGCCACAACCCTTTGCCTTTTTGGAGTGCAAGTGACACCAAACCAAGAGCAAAAAGAAGTATTTTTGGTCCAATTATTGGCCAAAAAATGACTCGGACTTGTAATAAGATTTTGGAAAGCTAGTAGAGCTTCTTGGTCCGTCTCATTTGAGGAGGCAATTGATATAGAAAATTGAACTAGAAAGAGAAGAGTCAATATAAAAATGTGCTTCTTCATGTTGTTACTATGCACTGGAAAGGGAACTTGAATTAATTTATGTGTGTGGTCTTGCCAAAGATCAAAGTTGCTCCACAATATTTTGAAAATATGAAAACAGATTAAGACGGAGGAGGAAAATAAGTAGTGAGAAGATTAATGTCTGAACAGATCAAATAAGTAGTAAAAAGAGTAATGTGAAAACACATCAAAAGGAGTAAAATAAGTAGCAAAAGGAAAAAGAATCTGTCCACTTCACTTGATAGTTGACAATAGTAGCTAACTCATAACAGAAAGAAGAAATTAATCTTGCTATATTGTCAAGTATAAAAACAGAGATAAGAATTTGATCTGTTATCTCATTACATGAAGGAAGAATATATATACATGAGTTTAGTCTCCTACTCCTAAAATCTCAGAATATTATATTAACATATCCTACAATATCTAATAGAATATTACATCTCTGACAAATACAATATAAACTTACTATATTTACACAGATCTTTACTTAATATTAAGAGTCAATCTTTTAAGTGGGGGTGGGGGGGTCTGTGAACTGACGGTGTAAAAGATATTGAAATAATTATAATGGCCTTGATAGTCCAATCAACTTGCGTTGAGAAAGATAGAATCAGATCTAAGTCAATGAAAATCCATGCAGTTCAGACAAGTTGTCCATAAGCCAAGTCAATGGGAATCAATTTGTAGATACTGTTGATTCTTGATCCAATTTGCTTCAAGGTTCACACCTATTCCACAAGATTCTTCTTCATATCCCATAATAATCTCAATGAAGAAATTCCTTCGTCTATTTGCAATTTGATATCATTGGTAATGCTAGATTTGGCGAGAAACAACTTGAAGGATCAATTCCGCAATGTTTGGGCAATATCAGGGCCTCATGGGCAACTTGCTTTACCTCACAAAACTCTGTTCTTTTCTTCTTCAACAAAAACTAGATGTTCTTCCTCAAGTTTCCCTAATTGCTCAAATGTCTATCGATCCGATTTCACACACATAAAACAAATAGTATTCATTGAAAATCATTTCTCCAAAAAGGAATAAATCAATAATTTTCTTGCAAGCTTCCCAACATTACACTTGAGTTACAAAACTAAAGTCAAAACTCATCATTCGTGCTCAGCACACTAATAAAGAAAAGGGCGTTTGAAGTACGAGAGTCAGTTCATCATTTTTGTGTTGATCAAATTCAATGTCAAGATGTATTTATCATTGCTGCTCCTCCAATGATATTCGTGAGCCTATTTCAAGGCATGGACTTTATGAAAATAATATTGTTTTCGGTGTTATTATTCCTGCTTCTGCAGCTGTAGGTTTACATTTTTACCCAATCTTGTTACAACTTGTGTTTACCATGAAACTACACTTGGAAAGAAGTAAAAATTATATGTTAAAAGTTTGAAATCAATCTATATACAGTAAATACCACTTTCATCCGCAGTTACTTTCGAATATTATGTTTCCAAAAATTAGATTACTTCCCATCTTTTTGTCATTGTCAATTAATACATATTATGAATTTTTTTAATGATAATTTTGGTTGAGTGATTTTGTCGATACAAAGGCTTAAGTTGAGTGATTTTATAAATATAAAACAAAGTTTCTAATGACTCGAATGGCAACTTGTCCGTGGTTGACTTGCAGAATTGCAGTAAATATGAAGACAATATGTCCTTCAGTTGAGGGTTCACATGAAGTAAACGTTCTTTGAAGTTTTTAATGTCCAGTTGGTCCTGATGTTCATCCATACTATGCAGCAGGTTAGTTCCTTCTCAAACATTTATGAAGATTAACAACTTCTTTTTATCAGGCTTGACTAATTTTGCGGGTATCTGCTACATCTTATCACCACACATATATCAATACCGATAATTTTGTCTACCAAAGCTTGGGAAAAGGTGACCAACTTGAATAAACATAAACATCGACTCAAGTTTATGCAAAAGATTTACCACAACCAGGTCACCTCAAGGCAATAATATCCAACTCTCTATAGTAACATGCGAAGACAAATCAGAAAATTATTGGATCCTTTCCTTTATTTATACTTTATTTGCATATCAACACAGCTCAGTTTTGTGCTGTATAACATTTTAAAAATTAACTACAACATGGAATGTATTCAAATTTATAGCTGTTTGATAGAACCCATGTGAACAGCAAGACACACATACATTCGCACAAGGTCAAATACATAGATAGCCCCTCTAACTTACACCAAAATTTCATTTTGGTACTCCATCCCAACCTTGCTCCATTTTAATCCTCGAACTTCATTCCTTATAAACCATTTAAACAGAAAAAGCTGATCAACATATTAACTTGCAACTAAAAAAGAACACCACTTTAAAAGATGCTAATTTCTATGTTCCCAAATATGTGTTCTTAATTTTGTCAAGCCTCTTGACTACGTCTCTCATTGTTATCCTTGACTCTGGCATTTCCTTTGTGCAATCCAAAGCCAATTCCATCATGGAGCCTATGCATATTTCACTTTTTGAATTGAAATGTTCTTCCTCATGAATAAAATTGACATCCACAACTTCCATAATTGTCTTGGGAAATGATTGTCTTATCCACTGTCTCAAGCCAAGATTTTCATTGAATATCTCGTCATCAGTTGGTCTTCTTTTTGTCAATACCTCTATCATCATGATGCCATAGCTGTAAACATCACCACTACTGGACACTCTTCCTTCCAAGCCATATTCTTTAGAAGAATGAAAAAATTATAAATTATAGTCGAAAGATAATAATTGTTTTTCACAATCAAAGACTTGATTTTTATATATTTCTAGAAATCGAAAGAGCTTAATTTTGATTAGAGAAAAGGTTAATGATAAGTGAAAAGGAATGAGACTAGTGTACGTACCTGGTGCAATGTAACCAAGAGTGCCTAATGTCTCAGTATGTGCCATGGACTTGCTTGCAGCTAATATTTTTGAGATCCCAAAATCACCGACATGTGCCACCATTTCTTCGTCCAAAAGAACATTGGCCGGCTTTAGGTCGCAATGAACTATTGGAGTATCATGACCGTGGTGTAGATATTCAATTGCCTGAGCCACATCAAGTATTATGGTGACTCTTTGAAGAAGGTTCAAGTGGCAATCTTCTATGTACAACCAACGCTCAAGACTTCCACTGGGCATATACTGTAGAACAAAGGCTCTTATGTATTCACTAGAACAAGTAGTAATCACTGGAATAAGATTTCTGTGCCTAACATTTCTCATCACTTCACATTCAGTATCAAACCTCTTGCATACTTCTTCATTTTGCAAATCAAGTACCTTTATTGCCACCACAGTTCCACTAGATAATGTACCTTTGTACACAGAGCCCGAACCTCCCACACCAATTAAATTGGATCCATCAAAATTATTTGTTGCTTGTTGAATCTCGTGATAAGAAACTAATTGATAAGTCCTGATCTCCGGTACCTTTTCCACATCTTTGGAGTTTGCTTTCTTCCGTCGTTTCATTATCCAAACTATAGCAAACAAAAATATCAGAAAAGAAGCAGCAACCACTGGAATAACAATTTTAAGCACAAGCTTCTTAGACTTTGATTGTTGTCCAGTTGTAGTGATAGCACAAGCAGGAATCTCCATTATGTGCATTCCACATAGACCTTTGTTCCCAATAAATGATTGCAGAGTGGAATTCGCAAACACACCACCACTGGGTATTACATCTTCTAAATCATTAAATGAAACATTAATGCTTTTAAGGTATGATAGCTATTCCAAAGACTTGGGAATAGTACCTGACAACACATTTAAAGACAAATCCAAGTATTCTAAGCTTATCAAGTTGGCAAAGGATAATGGAATTGAGCCTGAAAATGAATTGTTTGACAGGTCAAGAGTATTCATGTTTTGGAGGTCCCCCAATTGGCTTGGTATCACGCCTGAAAAGTGGTTACCAGAAAGATCTAGTCCTACAATGGCCTTCAGTCCTCCAATATCCTGTGGAACTTCTCCCTCTATAGAATTTTGTGACATGATTAGATAGAGAAGACTACTCATCTTCCACATGCTCAAAGGAATCTTGGATGAAAATTTGTTAGAACTCAATATAATGGCTTGTAGCATGCTAAGATTTCCTAAACATTCTGGAATTAATCCAAAGAGCTCATTACCACCCAGACTTAATTGAACCAAATTAGATAAATGGCATACTGCCTCTGGAATATGTCCCTGCAATTTATTGTTATTTACATACAGACCTTGGAGTTGTTCAAGCTTAACAACATCAGAAGGAATACTTCCCGCCAAGTTGTTTTCTCCAAGGCTCAGGGCTATTAGACCGCTCATGTTGAGTAAGCCCCTGGGGATGGGGTCATTGATGTGTGCATCTTCTATATGAAAGTTTTCAATAGTAGATGAAAGATTCCCAATAGAATCGGGCAGACCGCCATTCAACGGATTGAAACCCACTTGTAGATATCGCAGCATCCTACAGTCCGCCAAAGAATTGAAGAATTGCAACTCATGCTCTCTTGGTTCATTGGTAAGTTGATTATCATGTAGGAACAGTTCTTGCAGCACGAAGATTCCCCAAATTAGTAGGAATAGTGCCTGTGAGAAAGTTATTTTCTAGCCCCAATATCTCAAGCTTGGAAGCATTTGTTATGAACAATGGAATTTCCCCTTCCAGCTCATTGTGTCCCAAGAAAAGTTCTTTTAAGGTTCTGAACATGAAGACCTGATGTGGTTGGAATTCTACCTGAGAGGTTACTGTAGCTGCAATCAATCATTTCCAAAGAAGATAGGTTAAAAATATCCTTTGGAATTTGCTCCACTATGCGACTGTTTCCACAATAAAGATTCCGCAGAGTGGAAATATTACCCAATGAAGTGGGAATAGTCCCTGTTATTGGATTATTTCCAATATAAAACTCCTCGATTATGGATAAACAACCAATATTTCTGGGTATGTTTCCAATCATATTGTTATAAGATATGGACAAAATTTTGAGCTCTGTGAGTTGGCATATGTTAGAAGGAATGCAACCAGAAATTTGGTTCTTAGATATACTTAGATACTTCAGATTTGACACAATATTCCCTTCATCAAGTAAGAGAGGACCAGAAAGGCTATTGCTTGCCAGAGATGCTCTAATTAGCGACGAAATATTAAACAGTGTTGCTGGAATGGAACCTGCTAATTGATTATTGAACAAATGCAACTCTATAAGGTGGCTAAGATTACCAATCTCAGTTGGAATGATACCATTGATTCTATTCCCAGACAAACTGAAGTTCAGCAACTTTGTGGCATTTCCAACAGAAGAAGGGATTATACCTGTGAGGCTATTATTCCTGAGACTTGAGGACTCTGAGTTGGGGTACATACCATGGCCCTTTCCACATTTCACCACTGAGTTTATTGTAAGCCAATGAAATGATTTGAACTCTCTGGTGTTGAAATAGACTTGTCGGAATACTTCCTTCTAGTTGATTGTTTCGAACATTAATCACTCGCAAGCGAGGCAATTGGCCAAGACTGTATGGTATGCCACCATGGAATAAGTTATTCTCGAGATTGAGCTCTCTGAGAAAGGACAAATTGGCCAAAGACGGGGATATTGTGCCTTGAAGTTGCAAATTAGGAGGAGCCAAGGCCACAACCCTTTGCGTTTTTGAACTGCAAGTGACACCAAACCAAGAGCAAAGAGAAGTATTTTTGGTCCAATTATTGGCCAAAAAATGATTCGGATTTGTAATAAGATTTTGAAAAGCTAGTAGAGCTTCTTGGTCCATATCATTTGAGGAAGCAATTGATATAGAAAATTGAACTAGAAAGAGAAGAGTCAATAAAAAAATGTGCTTCTCCATGCTGTTACTATGCACTGGAAATAGAATGTTTTCTGTGTGTGTGGTCTTGCCAAAGATCAAAATTATACTCCACTATATATGTAAATTGTTGAAAAGGATAGACTACATTATTTCAAAAATGTGAAAGCAGATTAATATGGAGGAGGAAAATAAGTATCAAGTAGATTAATGTGAAAACAGATGAAAAGATGGAAAATAAGCAGGTAAAGGAAAAAGAACCTGTCCACTTCACTTGAGTCACTTGCAGCAGTCCCACACTTACCCTTACTTCCTAATACCTTTCCAAAAGAGGGTGGGGTGGGGTGGCCTTGATAGTCAATCAACTTGCATTGAGAAAAATAGGAACTCTTCATATTTACATGGTTCAAGCTTGGAAGCATTTGTTATGAACAATGGAATTTCCCCTTCCAGCTCATTGTGTCCCAAGAAAAGTTCTTTAAGGTTCTGAACATGAAGATCTGATGTGGTTGGAATTCTACCTGAGAGGTTACTGTAGCTGCAATCAATCATTTCCAAAGAAGATAGGTTAAAAATATCCTTTGGAATTTGCCCCACTATGCGACTGTTTCCACAATAAAGATTCCGCAGAGTGGAAATATTACCCAATGAAGTGGGAATAGTCCCTGTTATTGGATTATTTCCAATATAAAACTCCTCGATTTTGGATAAACAACCAATATTTCTGGGTATGTTTCCAATCATATTGTTATAAGATATGGACAAAATTTTGAGCTCTGTGAGTTGGCATATGTTAGAAGGAATGCAACCAGAAATTTGGTTCTTAGATATACTTAGATACTTCAGATTTGACACAATATTCCCTTCATCAAGTAAGAGAGGACCAGAAAGGCTATTGCTTGCCAGAGATGCTCTAATTAGCGACGAAATATTAAACAGTGTTGCTGGAATGGAACCTGTTAATTGATTATTGAACGAATGCAACTCTATAAGTTGGCTTAGATTACCGATCTCCTTAGGAATGTTGCCGTTGATTCTATTAACAGACAAACTAAAGTTCAGCAACTTTGTGGCATTTCCAATAGCAGGAGGAATTATACCTGTGAGGCTATTATTCCTGAGATTTAAGACTCTGAGTTCAGGTACATACCATGGCCCTCTCCACATTTCACCACTGAGTTCATTGAAAGCCAATGAAATTACTTGAACTCTACGGTTTTGAAATAGACTTGTTGGTATACTTCCGTTGAGCTGATTGTTTTTAACATCAATCACACCCAAGCGAGGCAAGTGGCCAAGCCCATAAGGGATGCCCCCATGGAATAAGTTGTTCTCGAGATTGAGCTCTCTGAGAAAGGACAAATTGGCCAAAGAAGGGGAAATTGTGCCTTGAAGTTGTAAATTAGGAAGATTCAAGGCTACAACCCGTTGCCTTTTTGAACTGCACATGACACCGAACCAAGAGCAAAAAGACGCATTCTTGGTCCAATTATTGGCCAAAAAATGATTGGGACTTGTAATAAGATTTTGAAAAGCTAGTAGAGCTTCTTGGTCTGTCTCATTTGAGGGTGCAGCTGATATAAAAGCGGAGAAAAAGACAAGAATCAATAAGAAAATGTGCTCCTCCATATGTTTTACTATATGTTTTGTTGCCAAAGTTACACCATTATATAACAATCCTTGGTGTAGAATATTATTTTTCCACCAGAATCTTTTTTCTCCTCTAATTGGCTACAGTTCCGATGTCATACAATCATATTATTCTAACACAAGTTATTGAGATTCCCTAATTATTAAGCTACATTAAATAATTAGTACTCCTATAAGCAAACTATTATTATATTTCATCCTATATTATTCACAACCTTGACTTAACTACTTACGGGGTGCGTTTGGTTTAAAGAATGTAAAAAATTACTTATTCAATGTCTAGTTTTGAGTGTAAAATTTAGTAACTAACGTATTCTCTGAATAAATAATACAACGTTGATTTCTGATATTAAACTCCGCATAAGTTATGCAAAGTTATTTTAATACCGGAAACCCATAAGAACATACAATGACCTTTCCTGCCCTCAGGTTTGATCTTTAATTATATATCTTAATATTATTCAAACATTCAAAACATATTAAAGACTCTGAAGAACAAACAGTATATGACTCCAAGTAGTATGAACGACTTACGACTATATATATACTAGTTTTGGACTCGTGTATTACACGTGCGTCCCATGTTAATTCATTCAAATATTATATATATATATATTATTTTTTACAATAGTCTAGGTGTTTCATGAGTTGTAATCGGTAGGTTGTTTATGTAAACCTAAAAAATTTAACTTGCTAACTTAGGCTTGCACAATATTTAGAGAGTTTATTGTTTGTATTTTTAAGAACAGATATGTGGTATAGATGCAACAAATATTATGATATATTTATATCTAATATAATATTTATTACGATTATGATTGTATTTAATTTTGTCTTTCACAAAATTATAATATTAGTATTTAATAGAATGATTATTGCTTTTGAAGGCCCTCAATATAATGATGGATTGTTAGAAATTTGGTATTAAAGAATGATATACTTGTGCATATAAGAATAAACTCTTCTTTATCTATAGCAAATCTATAAGTAGTTTAGACATTTAAAATGTGATTTCTCGTATACTCAGATATAAGATAATTCCACATTATTTTAAATTGTCACCCCCTTCTTAATTTCACAAAAATTAAAATCATTAATGAGTGACACCCTTTCAATATTTATGATGTCATGAAGATCAAACACTTGAAAGAGGTAAAATTTATTTAAAACTCTCATCTCAGATTGCAGATTTCTTAATTTGGAGAATTATAGTTAAAGGATGAATTTTAAGAAACTGTTAGATTAGTTTAATTTTTAATTATATTTCTATTTTATAAAGTTTGTATTGAACTACTGATAGATGTTAAATTGGAACATGATTATCGTGTTATATTTTGTAAGAACTATATTTAATCAAATAAAAAAATTATTTATAATGAGATGTTAAGAATAGTAAAAAATTGCAAATTGCACTTGAAAAATTCCTTTCTCAATCATGTATCCGAGCTTACTACTTGAATCACGAAAGGCGATTTTCTCACTGCCTATTCAATAATTGATTCCTCAAATAGAAACTAAAACACATTATAAATTGTGAAGTCTATAAGCTAATAATTTTCTTTAAAACGCAAATTGCCAAACCAACAATAATACAACATGCAACCAAAGATAAACAAAATTAATTAACATTGCATCAAACGGTTGGCTAGATGTGATTTACACTCCTAGCGGTATATTGTGTTAACTGTTGAGTATATATACAGGGGCGGCTCAATGTAATTTGAGGCCTAAAACGAAATTTTAATTGAGGCCTAAAATTTATATAAATATCAAATATAGCTGTTTATTTTTTAAAACTTTTTAAATGCAAATTATAAGTTGATATCTTTTCTTAAAATGATTTTTTTCGAATATCGTTTTTAATTATTAATTTTAAGTAATATTTTATCAATTCAACATTGAAAAATATTATTGTACTGAGGCAATCATTATATAAATTGTTAACATAATACTATAAGTAATAAATTGACAAACTTTACATAAAAATAAGAATTAGAACCATAAAATCT